TGGAAATGGAGATTTTACACTATCCTTCCCCTGCCATGCCCAACAAGCCACGCCCACCAAGTCATGCCACGCCCATCAAGCCACACCCACAGAACCGGTAGTAAACATTTTTGAATCCCACCATTGCTTCAAAGGGAGCTGAGATTAATGAGAACATAAGCAGTTTTTGAAGAAATAATGGAATGTGCTGAAATGAGTAAATTGACATTTGAAATTAGAGAAGAAGAAGATAAACAATTTTATAAGATTTGGGATTTATTTTATCAATGGTTAGGAAATAAAATATGGTAATGAAATATGTAGAACTTTACAATATAAGGAGAATAGAACTATATAGAATATATAAAGATGTATTATCATTATAATTATGGGATGGACTTAGGATGATAATATGAATTGATAAGATTAATCTATTTAAAAATATGGAATATCTCGCATAACATGAATGAATAATAGTACAGTCAAATGATTGATTAACAATGATAATAATGTATTTAGGAATATTTGATTGATAATATGAGAATATATACAAGTAATTGTGAGGACTATGGAGAGGATGCAGAAAACAATTTGTAACCAACCCACACACTGTATGTACGTAAGTGGAAGATGGCTTGATGTTTTTATGTTGTGTTTGTGTATATTTGTCTAAACAATAAAATTTTGTTTAGAAAAAGCAATTTTTGGGTAGCAAATACCGTACATTTTCCAAAACCAGAGGGGAGGTGGGCTTCAACAGGTACTGTTTGGCAGGCCAGCCAAATCCTTCCCTCTTCCATAAAAATATATCAGTAATCCCCAATTTATACCCATTCATTTAGTGGCTGTTTGAAGTTCCCTGGGGGTAAAAAAAAGACTTATTGCTCAGTTTTCACACTTATGACTGTTGTAGCATCTCCATGATCATGTGATTCGGGCACATGGCCACTAATGCATATTTATAGCAATAGCAGTTAGACTTACATACCGCTTCACAGTGCTTTACAGCCCTCTCTAAGTGGCTTTACAGAGTCAGCCTATTGCCCCCAACAATCTGGGTCCTCATTTTATGGACCTCAGAAGGATGGAAGGCTGAATCAACCTTGAGCCTGGTGAGATTCGAACTGCCAAATTGCAAGCAGCCAGCAGAAGTAGCCTGCAGTACTGCACTCTAACCACTGTGCCACCGCGGCTCATATTTATAATAGTTGCACTGCCTGAGTTCATGTCAACAGACTCAACAACATTTGTAACCTTCCCAGGAAGCTTCCAACAAGCAAAGTCAATGGGGGAAGCCAGATTTGCTTAATGACGGATGGTTCCTTTAACAGCCGCAGTGATTTGCTTAACTGTGGCAAGAAAGGTTGCAGAATGGGACAAAAAACTCGCTGAACAACTATCTTGCTTAGCAATTGAAATTTTGGGCTCAGTTGTAGTTGCATACCTGTATAAAGATTGCAATGGAGCTCTGTGAGTCTGACTTCCAGGCACCAACTGGAACAAATTAAATGGGGCTACTTAAGTTTGCTGTGAATATATGTAGCATGTTAACATTGGCTGTCCGAGAGCCAGTGTGGTGTAGGGATGAAAGCACTGGATTAGGAGTAGAGAGGGAGATCCCAGTTCTAATCCTCCCTTAGGCATGGATGCCAGCTGGGTGACCTTAGGCCAGTCTCTCCCTCACAGCCCTCACAGTCTGGGTCACACTCTTTAGAAAGCTGGCAAGCAGCCGCCGCCCTTGGCACATGATGCATGATAAGCTTCAGAATTAGGGAAAAAACAATTGGACCCTGTAACTGAATGGGACAGACACTAAGGCAAACAAAGTTGAAAAGTGGTTTACTTATTACCAGGTGTTTTTTTTTTTTTTATCTGTGCAAAACCTGGAAAGGCAGTGCAGTTGATAAACTGAAGTGAACATTGATAGCACTGTTGCCTTTAAAACAGCGGCCACCAACCTTTTTGGCTTGGTGGCCTGGCGTGGGGGGGAGGGGAAAGAGGGGATGGTTTTGTGTGAGTGGCAGGTGCGTGTGCGTGTGTGTGTGTGTGTGTGTGTGTGTGTGTATACAACTCCATTTCTGCGAGAAGCAGGTATACTTGCCAGTGGATCTTCACACACAAACACAAGCGTCAGACACAGAGGTGGTATTCAGCTGGTTCTGACCGGTTCTGGAGAACTGGTAGCGGACATTTTAAGTAGCTCGGAGAACCGGCAAATGCCACCTCTGACTGGCCCCGCCCCCATCTATTCTCCGCTTCCCGAGTCCCAGCTGATCGGCTGGGTCTTCTTTGGTTGCCCTGCACAGGAGAACGGAGCTGGAAAGCAGGTTAGTGGGGTGGAGGGGGGAATTGGGACTTTATAGTATCCTTCCCCTGCCACTCCCACCAAGCCACACCCACAGAACTGGGAGTAAAAAAAATTGAATACCACCACTGGCCGGATGCTTGCGTGAGTGGAAGTTTGCATGTAAGCGTAAGCGTTCACCACTCACATGAGTGCAAGCACCTGCTACTTGCACTAGTGGAGCATTGCTCACCCACCCTTGCACAGCCCGGTTCTGAATGGGCCACTGCCCAATATTAGGTCCCGGCCCAGGGGTTGGGGACCCTTGCTTTAAAACAAAGCATACAGGTAGTTCTCGACTTCATTTAGTGACTGAAGTTTCAATAGCACAAGTGGAATTCAAGTTCCTGTCCTCTGGGGTTATTGCGCATTTTATCTTCTTGCACAAAATAAATGGAGCATTTTATTACAATTAATAATTACATGCAGTTATAAAGGACAAAGTACTGTGATGCAATATAGCAATGGTGGTGGTGGCGTAGGGAAATCTGTCTTAAGCCCTGATGTTGCTGGCATTTATCTCCACTCAGGATCTCACATATCTTCGTTATGTATTTTCTTATATCTACCCCCTGAGTCCTTACGGATTCTAAGCTGGGGACATTTTGTGTAATTTTAACATGTTTTCAAATATAATTTTAGCTTTTACTGTGATTTGAATACACAGTAAAAATTAAAATTATATTTGAAAACATGTTCAAATTACACAAAAACATACCTAGAGATACACATGCAGGTGCTTCTCGATCCTCTATTCAATCCCCCAGGGCTTTTCAGGAAAGTTCAGCTTTTATTAGTTCCTGTAATCCATGTGAAGACCTCCAGGACTATTTTCTCATCCCCTGAATCAGTGGGGTAGAGACTGTTTGGGAAAGGCAGTTTCTGTCCAAATCCTGAGTATATACATTGTTTAAAAGCACCACACCTTTAATATATAATTTCATGTAGTCCTTCACTTGCTATCACTTTTTTAGTCCTTCACTTGACTGATCAAAGTTACAGTGGCATTGAAAAAAGTGGTTTATTAGAACCGGTCCTTACACTTACACCTGTCACACCATTTCCATGCTCACATTATCAAAATTAGGCACTTGGCAACTGGTATGTATTTCTATGGTTGTAGCATCATGTAGTCACATGACTGTTATTTGTGACCTTCCCAACTGGCTTCTGAGAAGCAAAGTCAGTGTGAGAAGGTGAATTCGCTTAACAATTCCATGATTCACTTAACAACTACAATAATTTGTCCAAAAGGTCATAAAATTGAACATGACTCACTCAACAACTGCTGTACTTAGCAACTGATATTCTGGTCTCAATGTTGGTCATAAGTCAAGGACTCAAGGGTTAGGATAGAAGGATTATTTTTTTAATTATACTGTATATTATTTTTAAATATACGTAAGTATTGAATACATGAACAGTGTGGGTATTGTTAATTTTGATATAAAATAATAGTGATATTGATAATATTGATATTAGTTATGTTAATCATGCATAATTATAATATTATAAATATTAAGATTAAAGTTATTAACATGTCAGTATTTGTTTTACCATGTATATAATACTTTATCATTTAATTATTCAATATTTTAATACACAATACTGATAACCATAGTAATATTATTTAAGTATACATGATAAAATCATTTTTCAACTTCTGATCTTTACATCTACATATTAATTTATTAATATGGGGATAGAAGGATTGTAATAAGAGGATTGCTTCTGTGTTTGGTGGAAAAATGCAATAAAGTCTCAGCATTTTGGACATATATTTGTAGTGAAATAATAGCAACAAATCAGAAAAAGGACTCAGTTCTCACCAAGTTTTGATCTGTTGGAGATAGTTGATAAAAAGAATGAAATATTACAAAGGCCCTGATTTGAACAGCAATGTTTGCAATTATCCAGCAAGGGAATTATCAAAGCTTTTTCTTGGAAAAAAAGGTTTGGTATAGTTTAGTACGGTGTTTTTCAACCTTGGCAACTTGAAATCCACCCAATCTTCAAGTTGTCAAAGTTCAGAAACAGGCTAATTGCCCTGCTTGGGAAGGTCTCTGATTAAAACCTTCTGCTTTTCAAACTAGAGGAATCATAATTTTATTGGGATCAGTAGGACAGTTATCTGTTGCATAAACATCGAAGGAAGCGCCTATGGTTAGGATGTATGAGGAAAAAAACCAACGTCGGAGCTATTTTGTGTAATGTAATGAAAAGGAACTTGATATGAAGAATAAATAAAGATAAGCCGGGATTAAGGAGGTAAAGCAACCAGATTCATCATCTTAGTAAATGAAGGCTCAATTCCCACACACCAGGCTGTCAACCTCTGGGAGCAGATGGCAGAAAAGCTGGAATAAAAAAAAGTAAAAAAAAAGGGCAATACTGCAAGGGAGAGGAGGGATTAACCCCAAAAAACCCCTTCCCACCTCCCCAAACTTGACTCCTGATTTTGTTCCTGGTTTTTGGGACAGACCTTAACTCGGGTTCTCCTTAAGAAAAATGAAAACAATCCGAGGCTTCGCCTCTGACGTCACAGCTTCACCTGCGGCACCCGCCAGCTCCGGGAAGGCTGCGCCCCTAGGGAAATGAAGGGCAGGACCGCTAGCCAATGACCGCTGCGAGCGGTGGGGAGGGGGCGTGTCCCGGCCGCTGGAGTGACGTCAGAGGAGGTAGGTTGGCACCCAGGGCAAGTGGCAAAGGAAAGGAGTCTCCGGAGCGGCTGGAAACCGAAAGGGGTGGGGGGAAGCGCGGAACTGCTGGGTTTTCCCCCGCCTCCTTTAAAGGCCGAAGAAGTTAAAAAACTTTCCCACGGCCGTTCAGGTTCGCTCCGGCCTGTTGGGCAAAGAACCCGCGCGGGGCAGCAGGTAAGGGTAGATTTGCGAAGGGCAAGGTGAGGTGGAGGACCGGGACAGGTTTGCCAGCTGGAAAGGAAGAAGGATGCGGAAGATGGCAGGGGTGGGTCAGAGTGGGGGGGGGAGAGAGGGGGGGAGGGGTTTCCCTCCGTCCCAAGGGATTGGGGGGGGGGGGGGAAGGGGGGGGGGGGGCTGTATGAAAAGGGAATCATCCTTCTCCTTTCTCACTCCCAGAGCTGGCATTTCGTAGATTATTGCGGGGAAGGCGCCCGCATGGCTGCAAATAGAAAGGCGCGGGGGGGGGGGGGGGGGGGGAGAGGGGGGGGGTTTTCCCCGATCTGGGGGGGGGAGGGGCTCTCTTGTAGGGTTATGCACGAGACGAGGGTTGGGGAGGGGGGGGGGGGGCAGGGGGATGCAGCAAACTCGGGGCAACTTGTCAACTCGCGTCACCTGCTTTTATTTTCTTCTTTTGGTGATGCTGGAATGACTTTGCATTTTGAGCGCCGGGGTGCGGTGACGTTCCCGGTGCCATTAATCAGCAGAAAAGTGCTGTATGCGGGGGGAGAAACAGAAAAGGGATTCCGAATGGCTAATGGACGGGTGCGCGGACAGGCGCCTGCCTCTATTTGGATTTGTTGATGACCCTGGGGAGGACGGTGGGTAGAACCACGCTGGCAGAAAATCGTGAGTCTGCGGGGGGGGGGGGTGTCCCTTTCCCAGTTGGCAATTTTTACGAAAAGGCACCAGCTTGCTTTCCTTGAGCTGCAGCTCGCTCCATCAGATGCATAGAGAGCACTCCGTGCGTTTGGTGAAAAGCGCTGCAGCCTCTTCCTAAAATTTGTCAATGGGAAAAGATGCCAGCAGACTCCTGATTGTTCATGCCTCGCTCAGCACAGAAATGTTTCTTGTGCCTTCCCCTTTCAGGGGAGGGGGAAAAAAAGGCTGGGAAGGCACAGGTGTTTAGGTTCCAAAATCAGCTGGTTGCCCCCCCCCCCAATCTCCCAGCTCTTACTGTGGCTACTGCTGCCGTCCTTATTTTGATTGCGAAAAGTTTATCCCTTGCCACTTTTGAGTTTTGTAAATTCAGCCAATTCCAGCCCAGGAAACCAAGTTTATACCTTGAGGAATTTTTTCCTGGGGAACATCTGGTGTCTTGGGTCCTGTGCCAGAGCTGGGTGCATTTTGTGGTTCAGCAACCTACAACAGGGTGAAAGGCAAAACGAACTTTTCTTACAAGAGACCTGCCGTCCCAACTTTCAGTGCGGGTTTAAAGGTCTGCGTAGCTGTAATACCACAACTGGGGACAATGATGAAAGCCATCTTGCAAAGAAATTCATTTAATTATTAAACAATATATACTATATGGTCACCCAACTTGCACTTAGGTGACTGACCTGGGTGGCTTACAATATTAAAAATCATAACAAATATAAATCCATAAAACCCCACTTTATGGCAGCAGTGATGCAATACTTATTTATTAAATCTGATGGGGAAACTAAGAAAGGATCTTGGTTTCTTCAAAGAACCAGGAAATGCTAAGAAGGATCATCTCCCATCACAAGCATTTACAATCCTGCTTGAGTTGGATATGGCAATCTCCTTTAAAAAAAAAAAGACTTGTGTTACTTTAAAAAATAATGCTGGTTTGGTAATACAGTAGCTTTGCTGACTGGTGGCTGCTTCATTGCATGCATGTAATGTATGCTTAGCTGGCAAGTACTGTATACCCCTAGATGGAGAGAGTGCTCTCAAGTACTAACAGTACCAATCACGGAGCTGGGATCTTAAGACTTGACAAGCTTGGGGCAGAGCAACCCTGAAACTTAGGAAGCTCTGCAGACCGCCTTAGCGAGGCTTAGAATGTGTCAACTTTATGGTGTACGTGGCTGAAGAATCAGTATTCCTAAATTGGTCTCATAATTCACAGCAGCTACCAAGAAGCATTCTCATAGGTGATATCAGCAGATGTTTTAGCCCTGAAAGAATGTGTGGTTTACTTACTTGAGATTGGTTTGGAAGTTCTAATGTCAGATACTCGAACTGCTTGTTGTGTAATTACTGGCTGTCATTTGCATAAGGAGCTTTGCAAATCTGGAAGTAGATATTTTAATTGAAGCTTTTCCTTCTCAAATCCTGCTCTGTAGATATTTCTCTTTCCTGTGCATTCTGTTTCTTGTTCATCTCCATTTTTCTCTCTCAAAAGATGAGAAAGTCCCTCCTAGGATAATAGAAAGTTAAGTGTTTTCCACTAGCACATTTCATTAGATTATTTTCTCTTGTGTTTCCCTTATAATTTGAGAACTCTCTCTTGTTAGTATGTGTATTCTTCCTACACTGTCTGGGTTAAACTGTGAAGATGCTAGCACTATAGCATACTTTGTATACCCTGGAGTTTTGCATATCAGCTATTTACTTTATCTTTATGGCAAATTTTAGCAAGGGGAGGCTTATATATTCCCAGAACGCAGAATTTGTGTTTTCCTTTTACATTTCTGTTGCACAACAAACATAAACCTAACTGGAGCTGGCTTAATCAGAAATACTAGGCATGTCAGTCAACAGAGGAAAGTAGGAAGAATTGTCTGAATGATGCAGCATGAATTTTAAAAGTGACCTTGGAACTCTTCAAGTTAGCAAAAGGTCTTGACTGGCTTCTTATTTAATTTTTCAGAAACTTTTTGTAGCGTCAGGTTCTGTCATGTGATCTTATGCTTCATCAGTTATGTTTCAAACCCTGCTGCATAACCACATCCAGCCCTGTGGAAAAGCGCATGAGGGGATTTCTCAATGAAATCCACAAACTTTATTAACCAGCATGTGCAAGACTGTGGTTTGCTTAGTCATTTATATATGTATCACAGTTCATTTAGTGACAGTTTGCACTGGCACTGTGAAGTTGCAATGGCACTGAAAAAAAGTGACTTGTAAATTGTTTTTCACACGTATGACCATTGTAGCATCCCTATGGTCACATGATCCAAATTCAGATGCTTGGCAACTGGTTCATATTTATGATGGTTGCAGCACCACCTTTTGTAACAAGCAAAGTCAGTGGGGAAACCAGATTCACTTAACCATGTTACTAACTTAACAACTGTAGGGATTCACTTAACAACCGTGGCAAGAAAGATCATAAAGTAGGACAAAGCTCGTTTAACAAATCTCTTACATAGCAGCATAAATTTAGGGCTCAATTGTGTCTGTAAATCAAAGACTACTACACGTTGCACACACACTGGCTTTGGGTAGGTTTGGCATTTAATGCTGAAGAAATACAATATGGGCTAGGATCTTGCATAAACCCTGTCTTTTCTTCTATTGTACCTCTTTAATTGAGCCTAGCAAGTGAACATAGACCAGCATTCTAGCATTTCAATACGTATATCCAACGAGAGCCCCCATTATCCAGAATCAGCATAATGTTTGGCAAGTGATAGATGAGGATGATGTCCCCAGATTGGACAAGTAGGCATCCACTAAGAAGGAAGACTGATGCCAAAAGAGGAACAGATAGATATTTACAATTGGTTGCTCAGCCATTTGAACTGTCATTTGAAATTGTGACAAAGCCAAACAAAGGTGCTTAGAACCTGGATTTCATGTTCTGATGGTGCAGCCCCTGCAGCCACATGATTGTATTTTGGGTGCTTGGCAACCAGCCTCTATTACCATTTGTAGCAGGGGTATTGCCTCGCAGGTTGGATGCATCGCACACTGGCCACGCCCACCCCCAGTTTAGCGAAGTGGGGGAAGTCACAATATGTCACACGATGACAATATGACACTGCGAGTTTGACACCCTTTATTTGCAGCATCCTATGATCATGTGACTGCAATTTTTAACTTATTTAGACAGAAACAGGTGTTTATTTCTGGTTTCAGCCAAAAATAATGCCCACTGGTTAAACTGGGTCTGCTTAACATTGTGTTCACATAACAACCATGGCATTTTTTAAAATAACTGCAGGATTCACTTAACCATTGCAAAAAGGTTGCATAATCAGTCATGTTCATGTGGTGACCTGCTTAATGATTTATGACTATAATTCCAGGCTCAGCCTTATAAATCAAGGGCTAGTGCACTGGGAAATAAGAGGTGGGAGTGCAGTGTGTGCTTGCTGGGAGGAATCTCAAGATTTTGCAAAGTTGGCCATGCTGATTAGAGAAGAAGATAATAGCAGGTCTAGATGCCTGCAGATCATGAAATGACAAGTGCAGTTTTGCTGACAACAGTTGGGAATAAGATTTTGGATTCTTGATTATCAGTTTGGAAATCCATTTAGATTGGAAAACAAAGCACATTGAACATGAAAAGATAAAATCATACAGAATTGTCAGAGAGCAATTCTGATCTTTCAGCTGGTCATTTATATTTACTTATTTATTTATGTAGCATATGGGATCTCTCCTACATCGACAAACAATATAAACATTTTATGGTCATTTATAATTCCACTGACACCTGAAAGGTGTTGGTCGTGGTCTTAGTTGTGTGTTAACTTTCAAAAATACCGAAAATACTTCTGCTCATCAGGTCTTTATTATAAAACAGAGTTTTTTAAAACATGGCAACTTTAAGATGTGTGGACTTTAATTCCCTGAATTCCCTAGCTTGCTAAGTCCTCTCATAAAGTTGCCAAATTTGAATAACCCTGCTATAGCATTTCTTCCCCAACAAAGCGGCTAGCAAGTAATCAAAGAAAGCTAAGGATGCCAGCAGAGAATCGCAGGTCACCTCATTTGCTCTTGAATCCTTCACTCAGTTGTTTCCCTTTCAAGCCTAGCATCAGATTTGAGACTGCAGGCTTTTGATTTTAAATTGTAGGTTAAAAATCCACATAATCCTACCCTTGTTTGTTCAGAAGAAAATCTTGTGGAATTCAATGAGACTTATTCCCAGGTCAGTGTTTGTAGTAGAGTGGGCAAACCTAAGACTCTTCATATTTGAATTCTCTACCACTTTGATGGCCCAAGTACACACAAACTGCCCTTTAAGCCCATTACAAGAG